GACTTCGATTAATTTATTGTTGACGTTATATAAATAGATGTGTAGATACATTTGTCACACGAATTTAATTGTAACCTATGCCTTATATTTTAAAACGAATTGTTTCAACATCTAATTTTAAAAATACGATACGTTTTCTTTTATGTGACAATGCAATATAACCTTTCTTGTGATTACATCGTATATTTTCAACAAGAAAAATCTTTTGTAGTAGTATGCAGTACCTATTTTCTTTGTGTATTTTGTGTCATTAACTGTCGGTTTTTGATACCAAAATCTATGTATGAAACAGACCATCGTCCCTGTCTTTCACCTTTGAGAAAACAGAGATAACAATACATTTAAATAAAGATTTTGGACTCGGAAAACCCACTGTTAGACAATTGAGGTTGAAAATTAATAAATATCTGTAGCTAATAAAAAATATTTCTAGACCTGTTTTATAATAATTGATTTGAGTCTAGGTGAAGCTACATAATGAGTTTTCGTCGAAATGTTCGAAACACTATCCATCTAAGTCTTTTTGTTTGAAGATTTATATTACCTCTGGTGCAATCTTGAGAAATAGCATCTACCACGAATCTATTAATCAATCCGACTATAAACCGTTTTTACTTTTTTTTTTCATTTAAATTGTTCGTAAATATCAACATTGTTGCAATGAATTGTACAGTTTTTGAAATGTCGATGACAAAATGCAAAATTTGACATAATAATAAGTATTCCGGTAAAAGATATTTTTGTCCATTCGATCAAAATATTGCTCGAACAATACAATAAGCAAAAACCTCTATAAGCGAGACATTGTCCGGTCCCGACAGACGACTGAGTAGAGAGAAACTCGGGTTAGAGAGAAACTTATCCAGGTTCATATTTAACAAGGTGTTCTTCCAGCTAAGCTTTTTGGTATACGAATAATTGTCAATGATTCGTTCGATTTTCAAATTGTTGTCTTTTATAACGTTAAAAATTGCGGAGTTTCCAACCTATCAGTGACACGTCTTTGACGAATATTGTGAATGCAAAAGTTTGGATTTATGTTTGTTAAAAGCTATCTTCAGATGGGTTCTTGACGGATCGGATGTTGATGAAATTTGGCACAGGTGTAAAAGTATGGAAGAACACATAGACTACTTGGTAAGTTTCTTTTAGTACCGCACGGACGGACTCGACCGCTAGTTAATGATACTCCTACATGTTGACATCCTTGGTAGTCACTGGAGGAACCCTACTCACCACTCAAAGTACAATTTTGTTCCATTTATTTATCTTTGTCGGAAAAATTGTAAACATGCCAGCTCACTATGATAATTTTCATTAGGAATGTTCTATTTATAAATGCACCAATGTCATTTGAAAAGTTTACGATTCCGGAGGTAGATACTATTTCCAGCGTACACCGATCATCCATGTTTACGAATTAATTTTCTATCTAGTTGTATTTTTGTTGCGAAATCCAGATATTATAGGATTATCTGTATGACTGTTTACAACTCGTTACGTAAAGTTATTTTTCGCTTTGAACTTTGTCTCCTTGTACTACAAAATGGAGCGTGAACGGCGTTGAATATGCTGTGAATTCATTTAGATTGTTTTGCTTTATGTTTTTCATATCTACTTCTAATCCTACTGGAAAGATTGAACCTTAAAATTTAATGTTCATTAGTGACACACAAATCAGATAAACTGTGTCCACTCTTGGCACGTTAGAATCAAATCTATGCGTTTTCCTTCCAATGATTTCTAATTTTCTGCTCAATACTTCACCACAATCTAAGACTTTTCAAGAGCTCTAGAAGAAATAAAAAGATCTTTTCATTTTCCAGTTGCAATTCAAAATGCGTATTAAAATTATTATTAGGTTTGTACATGTTCATGTGAATATAAATCTGACTTTTTCCTACTACAATAAATGGGAATATTTAGTCCGTCTAAAGAATGGATGGATGGATGTTTGTTTGAACGTATCTTCGGAACAACTGCATGGATCTCACTGAAATTAGGCATACATATAGAACATAGTCTAAAAGAACATATAGGCTACTCTTCTTCTTCTAATGCCTCTTTATTATTGGAGATTGGCTGTCGGCTCAGCGAACCCTTTCCTGTCTTGTGCCAAGCGAAAAAGTTGTTCAACGATGGCTACTTATTAAGTTTCTTTAATTCTGCGTGGACGGAATCACTAGTGACAGCTAGTATATTAGCGCAATATGATTTTCACGTTGCAAGAGCGGATGTGAGCAGATGAGAGCGGGTGAGGTGAGTGCGGATGTATAATTAGTGGCGGAAGCGCGTGTCTAGAGCTGGGTCAGGGGCGGACGCGCAGGTGACACAACTGCCAACCCAATGGCAGGGACGAACGCGTACATCTTCGCTGTATCACAACATGTCATTATATATTTCAATACGTGAACTGTACACCAAGTTAACAATACTACATTACTTCAATTAACCTTGGATTTTCATTCTAGAGAACAATTACAGAAAGATTTTGTAGTTGAATTGTAAAAAAATAACTATTATTCTCTTTGAAGAATATTGTTAAAAATTATTATTATTTACATGTGTTTAGAACGTCGGTGGCTCAGGGGCACTTGACTTGTAATCTGCAGATCCTGGGTTTTAATCTCGCCATATACCAATGTGTTTTTCGATTTACATATGTAAGTTCCGTACGTCCGACGTTCTTACGGTTGAGGAAAACATCGTGATGCAACCTACACATATCTGAGAAGAAATTCAAAGATATGTGTGAAGTCAACCAACCCGCACTTGGCCAGCGTGGTTAACTATGGCCTAGTCACCCCTAACTTAGGGTAGGCTTAGAGCCCCTCAGTTGGGACGTATAGTAAGCTGATGACATGTGTTTTGAAAAGTCGTTGGATGCGGAAGGTGGAGGAACGTGTACTGTGAAAGACGTTGAGGAAAGGCCTATACCCAGCGGTGGGCAGATAAAGGTTGTTGATGATGATTATATGACATGGGTTTCAATATTAATGACTTTTTTATTCTTGCTTTCAGGTAAGTTCTTGGAGCACCGAATAATGAAAGAAGCAAGAAGAAACAATGGTGAGAATCGGAGGTTTGTATTGGTTACTGCTAAACTACATGGTGCATTTTGAAAGAATGCATTTTGTCTGTAATACGTAAACTTTTTTATCTTCATTTAAATCCTAAATTAAGTTATATTAAAACTATTTCAGATTTACCTCTTTATTTAAAAGCGAATTCCTATTGCATTTCTGTATATCCTGGTTGGTATCAAACATTTGAAATCTGCAGTAAGATTTAGGAAACATTCGGAGAAATGTTTTTCAAATAACATCAATACATTTGAATTCGTAGGAAATCGAACGTTAGATGAATTCTCGGTAGAATGCATTCACCTGTTAATATTATGCGACTAGCTATTGCCCGCAACTCCGTCTGTGACTGTGAAAAGAGACTTAGAAAGTAGCCTATGCGTTCTTCCAGGCTGTTCTACATCTGTGCCAGTTTATTGATATCTGTTGTTCCATTGGAGATACCTTCTAATATCCATCCATCCATCCAGATAAACTTTCGCATTTATAATAATAGTTAGTTAGTTATTAAATAGAAACATTAGTAAATAAAATGGATTTATGATATAGAGATATGTGACATGGTAAGAAAATATGTCAACTTAAATATAAAACTGATCATATAATAATATATCCAATTATTGTAGGAACGTTACAGGTAGATGTAGACCAAAGTACGTATGGAAGGATTGGGTGACAGAAGATATGCGTAAGAAGGGTGATATGACGGCTGATAGAGATGTATGGAGGAGTACATACAGTGCCGACCCTACGTTGGAATAAGGGCAAGTTGATAATGATTGCGAAAGTCCACACCTGGACGTAATACTAAAGCAATGCTTTTTACTCAAAATTGTTTCAAAATGGTTGAAGTAAACGTATTTAGAATTTGTATATTGTGAACGATTTAAACCATGAAACATAGAGTGCTTTGCTTTCTTATTTTTACTAAAAATCAGGTAATGTTAGAATGTTATTAATTTAGGAAAATCCACACAGAAACATACACATCTTCAGATGTAGAACATTGAACTTTAATATAAACTAAACAAGATGCAATATCGTGTTTACCTGTGTACTGTCTAGAGAATCTTGCAACTATTAACGCTGATACTATATTGAATAGTGAATCTTATCTATTAGTTGTTAGAATTGCATATCGTATGAGATTTCGCGCGGATATGGTACAGATTTATCGCGGGCTGTTAGGGTGCCGCATATTTATATAAAGTGGGGAAGCTGTCAGCGCCTACGCTGACGCCTTCTTTGGACGGCTCTATACAATATCACAGTATTCTAATGTAAAAAAATGTCATAGAAAAAAACTTGCAAAAGATAACCTCAAAATTTTTCGAAAATTACTAACGATTCTGTGGTCCTAAATATGTAAATTTAACTAATTTTTATGTAATTTTAAATGAATGTGTGAAGAAGGCTTATTCGTCATTAATTAACACTTTACATATTTAATTACTTTCGATTTAAATTGTACTGTTTAAGTTCAACAGTTGTTTAGGAAAACAATAATAGGATTATTTTGTATTTCTTTGTTTACATCACAACCTCATTAAAAATCAAAGATTCCTCTGAGCGATGGAGACAAAGACTTTTGATATCCAATGACATCATCAAGGCAATTTAGTATAAAAGATATAAAATAATTTGATTAACAAAGCGATATTTTATCAACTATCCATCACATAACAAAGAACTAAGGCAAACCGTAACAACCATTCACGTCAAATTCCTACAACTTCATAATAAAATCAAATAAGATAATCACGCAGTCGCCCATAGTTTAATCAAATCCGTTTTATTCGTGAAACGACGACACTTAGTTCTTTCGACTAGATCGTCCAACTAATAATATCGCGCATGTGAAATGTTTTGGCTGGTGCTTTTTGTTCGAGGCGGGTTATTTCAGTTTTCCAGTAGGATTCTGAGCAAGAGCAATAGTGGCCGCTTCCACTTCGCTCGCTACAAAGTAGCTGACTCGCCGCTTGGACCGCGCGGTCAGTGATGTGCCTTTACTAATAAATCGATTCTGGTTACCGATAAACCGATTATGAAATATTGACGTGAGTCCCTCCCTAGTGATAGTGAATGTGTCAAAGTTATAAAGAAGTGTGAAGTGGAATAATAAGTTCATCATGACGGAATTCTATGGATCTTGGAGCGACGGCCGTCCTGACGGCGATGGCGAAGGGCTCGAGATGGAGGAGACTGTGGTCGAAACAATCACGACCACGACGACCAGGAAGATGGTCCCGTCGGTAAGTCTGCGCCGGCCTTGAACGTGATTCAGTCTACGTATTTTCGCTCCGACGACTTATTTAGAAGCGGAGGAATCCGGCTTCGAGTTTGTTTGATCTGCGTAAACTTACAGCGTTGAATATTCTAATATATGTGTAATATTGTTGGGCTGTTTATTTTGGAAGGCACGGATGTCAGGGACGCTCGGCGGCGATCAGCGGTCACCTGACTCGAGCCAGCCCCGAGGTGAAGGCGATACGCTCCCGTCAAATGTCAACTCGTTTATAAAGTGACGCACCGCATCTTGACACTAAAAATAACCTATATCTAATGCTGCAAACCGTTTAATATATTGTGATAAATGTAAACGTTGAGAAATATTAGTTTTCATTATCGTGCTCTTATAGAGAACGTGATGCCAATTGTTCTCCTTTGTCAATGTCACGACGTTTTCGTAATGCGTTTGTTTTTAAACACCTAATCAACAAACAACGATCGTGGTAACTGAAATTTCCTGTCTAAAATAATACAGGAATAGCAAAATATCCCTTCAAATTCAACTGTTGAACGTGTAATAGAATATAATCCTGAATAACCCAATAATTTTATAATATTTGTAAGGACTAATCCGTCGTAAAAATTAAAAAAAAAATCATATGACATTCTTTCAACTTGATGGAACAGCGATACGAAGCTTAGTTTCGTAGTCTTTTAGATAACAAATAACCAGCTAAGTGATGCACCTGATCCGAATATAAATAACAAAATTACTTTAAAAATTCCGTTCTTCCGAAGTGCAAGCTGGTGCTTAGGTTTCTTAAGTCCAGATATTTTTTAACTCCAACTACACAATCTCCAACACGGTGGATCACACGTTACTGACGTCACCGCGTTCTATTTTCCAGGTTGTGCGAGACCAAACATATTTACAATGATATTTTTACGTCCACGCCTCCAATGGTTCAGTTATAGAGTTTACTAGCCAACAAAATATCACTGAAAAATATAAAACAAAAGCCTGTCGTCGCAATATATCTGCGAACTCACGAAGTGCGGAGCTAGACAAAGTGCATTCGCTACGAAACGATTCCATAACGAATGAGCGACGACTTATCAAAAGATATTGTCAGTTCTACGCATTTTTGAAGTTCGCTATGAAATCGGAGCGAATGCACTTTTTCTAGCCCCGCTGCTAACCTAATTTTTAAACGGTCTTTTTCAATAAATAACACGATACACGAGTTTTAAAGTTACGAGTTACGAGACACAATAAAGACGAAATGGGCAGATATGAATGTGGCAGAATCCCGCGCAATGACGGGGCGTTCAGTCTACTAATTACTTTTATTTCCATTCGTTCTTTTTAAAGAAACGATGTTATTTATTATTAATTAGAACTACAAAAACATACAGATAATTGAGAACCTTCTCCTTTTTGAAGTTGAAAATTAAATTAATATTTTCCCTTAGTGTTTGACTATTTTCATGACGCGTTGTACGCCTCATAAAATTCTTCAATGTTTCATGTAGGTCATTAGAGCCAGTCTTTGTCGCAAAGCTCCCACTCGATGTTTGTCCAGATGAAATCTCTTCATGAGACAAGATAATGCTTTAGAACTCATATAACGCTAGCAACAACACTCTTTTGCCAACTTCAATTTTCCTTTTTATCAAGTGAAAAATCATTATGTTTTGGATAATCCAAGGAATAAATAATTTTAGACATAATTATTTATAATCCTTTGGTGGGAATGGCGCGCTTTTGTTACCAAGTCAAGTGTCAGATTGATTAGTGAGGGGACATAAACGTTGATATTTTAATAAGGCTGGTGTTGTGCCGATACATCGGCATAGTATCGGATATTCTTCCTACCACTAAATAACAATTTGTTAATTTCTGCCAGTATTAAATATTTGCAACCGCTTTTATTGTTCATTTCATAAGTTTTATTAATTCATGACTCAAAAGACGATAAATTCATAAACATATTGAACATTAAAATTAATTTAATAGCTGTAGTACATCATAAAATTAAAATACTTTGACATTTGCGAGTTGTTATAACATAGTCGCGTCTTTTATTATATTGTAAAGATGAAACTCGACTCTGTATGGTCAATTATTATACATTACAAGGCAATCCAACCGTAAAGTTGCGTATAATAGCCCTGTTTCATTGATCAGGTTTCGTAACTAGTAATAAATGTTTGTACTATTGCAATACTGTTTAAACAAATTCCCGCCATTAGACAATAGTCGAATGAGTATTATAAATGCGAATGTCTAGATTATGGATAGATGTTTCTGTGAAGGTATCTCCCGAACGGCTGTACGGATCTTGATGAAAATACTCCACATATAGAACATAGTCTGGAAGAACACATAGACTATGTGCCAATTATGTTTTTTAATGCTGCACAGACGGAGTCGTGGACGACAGCTAGTTTACTATATAACTTAATGTCTTATAAGTTTCCAGTTATAGCACTCAGGTGTAAAAAATTCTTTAGTGAACGAAGCTGTGAGTTACTCTAATAATGTACGATTAGACGCAGTTAGAATGAAGATTGAAAGTACACAAAACATAAACAAGTGACTCTATTTGCATTGTTTCTTTGTATACGTTGTTCCCATGGTAATGACAACCAGGTAACAAATCTCATCAAATAACAATAATCCATTGTTGCAACGAGTTGTGGAGACAATCGGTTGTTAAGGTAAATCAAACTTCCTTGTAAAAGGACACTAAGTATTGACATTTTAATAAATTAGAAGCAGCAAATTCAAATTGAGAATGCAATACGAATTTAGGTGTTTAAAGTCGTTTTAGATAATACTGACAAACTATAATCGTCTTATATGTAAATAATATTATTTCAAACTATATTATTGTAGAGCGTCGGTGGCTCAAGGGTCAATCACTTGACTTGCAATCTGCAGGTCCTGGGTTCGAATCCCGCCATGTACCAATGTGTTTCGATTTCCGATTTACATATGTACATTTATCCGACGTTCTTACGGTGAAGGAAAACATCGTGATGCAACCTACACATATCTGAGAAGAAATTCAAAGATATGTGTGAAGTCAACCAACCCGCATTTGGCCATTTGGGTTGACTATGGCCTAGTCACCCCTAACTTAGGGTAGGCTCTGAGCCCGTCGTTGGGGACGTATAGCGAACTGATGATGATGATATTATTGTATTTAAAAAATGTAGTAAACAATAAGGAGAGTTTGTGACACAATTTTACTCACAGAATTGAAAAATCTAATGTAAAGGAAAATTCTTTTCGCTTTTTCCTTCTGCAGAACTGTCACCTATTTTCTCTCTACTACTCTATTATAAAGAGGAAAAATTGTTATTTTTCTATGCAACAAATAAAATCAAAAAGTATGTAATGGATTTCCAAATTCTTTGGCATTAGAAAGCTTTTTAGAAAGATTTTATTTTTTCCGCGCATACGAAGTCGCGGGCAAAAGCATTAAATTTTAGTGCTAACTAAATATAATTTTAATCTATAGAATATTACCCATTAAAATTTTATACTATTCGAAAGGGTTTTGTTTGGTTTTATGTTATTCACCCGTACGTAAGTAAATGAGTCATCTCTCGTATGTTTACGTTTCCAAGCGCACTTTATATTTTGTGATGACAACATTACTCTTCTTATTGCCTGTTCCCTTTAAAACACTACATGTATTTTTATTTAGCTCGGTCCATATCGATCCATATCGAGTAATAGGATGCTGTGGTATAAATTAAGTCTTAGCATTTGCGGGCCCGGCGTTAAAGTAAGGCGCGGTTGGGCGACTGTCCAGGACGCTAGACAAAACACAGGCTCAGGTGATTATGTTAAGCCGCCTTCCACATCTAGGACATGATATAAAAAGAGGAGCATTTGTGTAAATTTTTAAATTAAATTAAAATTATTAGCCTAAAATGTAAATAAAAATAAAACTTACTAAAGTAATTAAATTTGTATACCTAATGTTTATATTGATTTTAAGTCGATACCTTTAGGAAATGGAATCAATCTATAACTAGATATTGGCAATGGTATTTTTAATTTGTGTGAATATTTCGTCAGGTTAAATTACGAATGCATATATTACTTAAAAATAGTTTCCTCGTTCAAAGATTAAATAGTAGTAGACTTTATACACTGGAAAATTATTATTTTTGAAAAAAAAATATCGGTATTCACGGAAGAGGCGTGTTCGTTGCTACACCACTTCGCGTATTTTTCGCTGCAGCCTCTAATTCTGTAGCGTTATTCTAAAACAATCTGTAATGTATAAAATCCAGAGTAAACATCGACGTTATGATTCATTGAGCTTGCTCTACATACTGAAATACTGCGGGCGTTTCCTTGAGACATTGTACAACAATCATTTAATTACAATGTTGCTGCCCACTTTTGATGACTGAAATAAACACTAAAATTATACAAGGATAAATAAAATAATAATAATAAAGAGTAAATAATACAAAGCTTAAAAATGACAAAAAAATTAACAAAATTTGCTGCATTTTATTTTAATTTACATTAATTGTCGTCTTCTTCGCATCTTTTTTTATCCCACAGACGCCAACATTTGTCTGTATACCTTAATATTGTGTGTACTCAACGTCCTAAAATGTACGTCTTAAAACAACGTATAAAAGTTTTGTTTCAAAATTTACGTGTATTTCTTAAGAACCAACAAACAAATCTAATCATGTTTTTAGAAAGAAGACACGAAACAACTTTTTCCCATTTTGTTACGATGACTAACTCATAGGAAAAAAACTCGACAGAATTTCACAATTTTTGTACTAACGTAAGCATGTACTCATGACCAATATCGCGTAATAGATTGAATTATTAAAACTACTTAATAAAGTAGTAACCTGATTCGTCTAGTATTAATTTTTTTAGTCAGAATGACTTGTTTAACCTTAAAAATGGGGTGAAATAGGTCACTGTGACACTGCTGAAGTGAGGAATGTCTCGCATATATCCAGCATGGTTTCTCCA